GTTTGTTGTTTCTATTTTAGTTGTTTCTATGTTCAGTCCCATACTTGGGACAAAAATTTATATTCCTCTGTTGTGTTTTGGGTACTGTACATGCTGAGAAATGAATTAGGCTTTCAGATTGGCTAATTTACATGTAATCAGTCTCAACTCTGATGAAGAACAGCACTTTCTAGCAGAAGTTTACCTGCTGTCTGGGTTATTAACAAAGCTCGCAGTGTGGAGGTGTGTGTCTTACTGTTACACATTTTCAGGTTGAGATCTGAATTAGTATTGGTAATGATATGTGGGTGTAAATACATCTTTGTAAATATAAAGCCTAATTAAGACCAAGGGGACAGGTGATTTTAAAAATCACTTTTCAATGGAGAAAAAACAGTTGGGTGGGTTGGTTTGGTTTTTTCCAAATGAAAAAAAAAAAATTAAAAATTATAAAGTGGAGCACCAAAAAAACTGCATCAGTAATCTTCCTAGGCCAGCCTGGATGTTCCTTATTTTTATTCTAAGTTTACCGTTGTCAAAAGCAAAAAAACCCAGAAAAATAGAAATCAGTACTAACCTCCAGGAAGCCTTTCTCATTTTGCAGATAGACTTAAATTAGAGAAAACCTTTCCCATTTTTCAGGTTACCTTAAATTAGAAATTTATGTGAATTCATAACAATACAGTTATGAAAATCCTGTGTGCCAATTAGTCATGCTTTTCAGGGATGTTACCATTTTTTTTCAGATCAGTCAGCTACTAATTGCATTGTGTAAGGAGATGTTTTTTTCATGTGTGAAGGTTTAGGCATGTTCTATAGTAGCTTATATGTGGAGCGGTGATCTGTGCTTGACTGCCACACTGTTAAAGGGAAGAATAAGTGGAAAAGCTATCAAATTTAACTAACTATAATAACTTAGATCTGACTCTTGACAGTGTAGTTGCACACTCCAGTCTGTCTAAACTCAAAAAAAGCGTTTTCTATGCAGATTATTGACCAGGACATGTAGGCTGTCTGTGCTATGTGCGTTTGGATGTTCTGTTTGAGACTAGCTCTAGCCTGGTCCCGTGGACTAAATGTCCATTATTATTTGGAGCACTTTTAAGTTTGTGCTTCTGGTTCAGCTTTATACTAAGGGAATCTCATTGCTGTGGTGCAAGGCTGCTTGTGTTGCAAAGTAAAATACAGTAAATTACAAACCAAAATACAGTAAATGGGGACACTCAGGAGATTTACTTCAAGGATACACTCCTCATCTGAATGAAAACACAAATGTAGTTTCACACTTTCATACTGAGCTCCTCTCAAGTCTGTGTGAATATTGCAAGTAGGACAGTATTTTTCCTGTAAAAGGCACTTTCTTTAGTGCCTTAAGGAAATATTCATTTCCTCTCACTGCTGTGATGTATGTTGTTGTCTTCGTTCACCGGGACACTATCTGTATGTGAAAGTAATTATTGTGAGCATAACATCTGGAAAGATGTCAAACCCAGAAACATACTGAAAATTAGCAAAAGGTTCCATGTTATAGGGCTATTGCTTCATTGTCAGAAACACTGTAATCGGGCTCCTCTGTAATGATACCTCTCTGAAATACGTAGCTTCCAAATACCTGGAGAAAGAGAAAAATGGATAACGTAGAAAAAACAACTTCATGCAAAAAACCTCATTGTTCTGTTTTACAGCAGTATTAAGTGAACAGAATATAGACCAGTGTTGCTTTCTGTAATAAAGCAATATTCTTTAACTACTGTTGCGGGGGGTGCAACAAACAAAATACTCCTTTCTTCAGCTACGTGCGTTGCCACAGGAGCCTTCAGACCCAGGGCTCGCAGGAGTGGCTGGTACTGCTGTTAAAACAGACCTAAGGTCTTGTAATGGGACTGTTTGCCTGTTTTTGCAGAACAGCTATGTATCAAGTAATGGCCTTAATGAGGATGATGGTTTTCTTCCTTGCAGATGTACTAGGGAGCTAAGCGACAATCATAAAACAATTTGGCATGAGCTAAAAGCATACCCCAATTTAACAAATTTATCACTAAATCATTTTAATGATTACTTTAGAGTTGGTAGTTAAAAACAAAACAACAAAGAGCACAAAAAGTAATTTCAAAAGAACTAAAAAAAAAAAATAAATAAAATTTTCAATCTGTATATTGTTTGTGCATTCATCTAAACCAGGTGAAATGAAGTCATTCGATTCCTGAGGAAATGGTGTCTCGTTTTATTGAGGTTGCTGCTAAACTAAATTCTACTTACCAAATTCTTACGAAACTAGCAAGTTACAGTATAAGAGTATACTTCTTTAGCACTGGGTGCCATACAAGTTCCATGACCCAGCATATAGTAGCAGCTGAAGAAAATGGCCTGAGGCGGAACCAAGGCCAGATATACTGAAGGCTTTATATAAGAGTTTATGAAAGCTAGCAAACCCTGACACAAGGGAGAAGCCAATGCAAGGTGTGTCAAGTAGGCAGCTTAGGCCATGGTGGTTCAGGACCCTTCCAGGCTAACTGCACATGGCCAGTCAGCTTCTCTGTTAACTCGGCAAAACCCAGAATTACACGCAGTTGCTATTCCCTGAAGTCTCAAGCCTGGTTGCTGCGTAATGAACGCAAATGTCACTTCCACAAACCATCTAGCTGTAAAAAGCAGTTCTGACTCATGATGTCGTGTGCATAAAGCATCACCACTAATAGAGCCAGGAGTTTTAATCTGACGCGTGTCCATGCAAACTGTGCAAAGACAGGGGAGAGGCAATTCCTCCACTAATATTTTTGTTTTCCTGGAACTGGGCAAGCATAGCAATGCCAGTGGTAAGGCACTGTGAATTCTCACAGTTAAGCATTTGTTTAAGTAATTCAGGGTACTAGACAGGATCCCTGACAAGATACCTATTCCCTGCAGAGGCTGAGTGCACCTATTTATTCTCCATTTGTTCTCCAGGCAATTCTGTTTCTTTTATTCATGTTACTGAAAAGAGAAATGGGACAGAATCTCCTGTGTGTAGCAGCACTGAAATCAGTCAGATTGCACCCACATCAGATCGGAGTCAGATCCATAATTTTTTCCTGTCAAACGGTCACCCACTCACCCTGCGTTTGGAATTACGCACTGAGGAAATTACTGGCCTAGGCCATGCTGACTTGTTTGACTATGAACCAAACTTAGCAGCTTGGGTAGACGAAGAGTACAAATTAACTAGCAGGAGTCTTTTAATGATCCAAACTGTAACAAATTAAACAGGAGGAGGTATAAATTACCATAGGACATTTACAGCCTTGTTAACAGAACTCAAGTGAGATGTGAACTGAGAAGTGTAATTTTCTGGACAGAACAGGTAAGATTGCTGTTCTAAAAATCTGTATATGTAAATATATAAAAATCTGTATATGTAACAAGAGGGGAAAAGGACTTTCCTGTAAAATCTGTAATAGGTCCCCAGTAACATGTAAAATTCTAGAATTAGAATTGACCATAGGAGACTTCAGTGGTTTTATGTTAGAAGTTCCACAGCCACAAGCTAAATGGGAATAAAAAGCCAAGCTTAGTCTAAGATTTCCTGGTGGGTTGATGGCATCTCAGAATTCACAGAGGAAATCTTAAGTTAAGGAGCGGATTCATAACTTAAGCAAGACAATTTAGTACTAGAATACATACTGAAATGTATATGTAAATGAATAAAGACTTGCTTTGGACGTGCCAAGTTAAATTAGACCAGTAAGTAGCCTCCCAAATTACTAAAAGTATTACTGATTTTTAAATGTTTAATATTTAATTTCATTGCATCTGGTGCACACTGGTCTAAATGTAATCTAGGTTTAAATATAATTAAATTCACTGTCAAAAACTCCTGTTAAACAAATCCTAAATCCCAATGTCTTTGCTGAAAGAAAATTCCTGGTGAAATTGATAGGAGCTTTCACTGATTATTACCTGCCTTTTATAATTTAGCTAAATAACTTATTATAGTTTTCTTCAATGTGATCAACCTTTTTATTCAAAATGACATATTTTATTAGATCACATGCAGATCATTATCAGTTGATGATGGAAGTCGTTATTAGCATAATTCTAAAACAATGTAAAGAAAACCCGAACAAAACCCACCATGCCTTTGGCTGTGATACTCTGCTTTAGCCTGATAAACAAATTTGTTACCCGGCTTGCAGGATACCTCATGAAACGTATAAGTGCCCCATTTATTTATGGCCCAATTACAAAATAATTTTCCTTCATATATTAAGATTTATGTGCACATATCTAATAGTTGACATTTTTAAAAAATCAGAAGCTGTGTACTTGCCTTCAGCAATAACAGTTCTCTGGTATTTCTCACCAGTTGATTTTGGAGAACTGTGAGAGAAGTCAGTATCTTCAGTTTCCTTTTACAGAGGATAAGAGACCGTCTCAAGGTGTTGCTATGTGCAGTTGGAGAGAGTTAACAAGTCTGTATCTCCTAAGTACCAGTTTGAAGTTCTGCCCAAGTGACCACAGTGAGGCATGTGAAACAAGTTTGTCATGTTCATAGGTTGGGTCTGTGCTTCTGTTTTCTGTGAAAGTATTTTCTGTTGTTGCACAGAAGGTACAGGTTATTTTCACTACAAGTATTTCCATCTTCCTTTTTAAAAGGTGAGGGGGTGGGGTTTTTTTGGTTGTTTGGTTTTGAGTTTTTTACATTTTGGGTTAATAGTAATACCGCTATTTGAGAGCGCAACAAACCTGACTGTTAATTTTGATTTTAAAATCAGCTGTACTCTCAAATAATTGTAATTCTTTCATGGATTTACGTAGACCTTGGCAGGTTTAACTATAAGATTCTGGATGTGCATGCAGAACTTGGATGAGAGTGACGATACCAAGTATAAGTGAAAGGTATGCTGGAAAATTAGTTGACATGCACAGTTGTAAACGTCTTTGTGGGATCTTCTGGGATCATCTGCTGTGTTCAAAGAGGTGTAACTGAGCCTGGGATAGTAATGGGAAAGCTAAACTGGTTCTTTTCTTTCTTTTTCCTGTAGATGGAAAAGTGAACAAAATTAAATGGATTTTGACATGGCCATTGATATTCGTGCTCTTTTGCACTATTCCAAACTGCAGCAAACCACGCTGGGAGAGGTGTTTTATGGCTACATTCATCTTATCCACTCTCTGGATTGCCTTGTTCTCCTACTTCATGGTGTGGATGGTAAGTGCATGTAGCAGGACTTCCTGTACTGAATGAAATGTGCATCTCAAAATAGAGAATAGATCTTTTGTGTATTTGTTTAAAAAAAGGCATGCAGTCTTTTCAGCTCATACTGTAATTATTAAAATTCTAGCTTTCTGCTGCTCTTTTCTGCACAGATAATTGGGCCTTTACTGTATAGGGCCCAATACAGTACAGGAAGGTGCCAGCTTGATTTTCAAAAGAATGTGGACATCCACATCGTACTAGTAAAAGGGAGTTTAAATGAAAACGTTTAACTGTCAGCAGCTGAGACACCTTTAGAAATTTGGCTCCAGGGTCTGACACTGAAATGTGCATAAAAGGCAGATGGATGGTAAAATTTGAAGACTCAGAAGTGGTGTAAAACCTCAAGTAGACTGGAATAATGCAAGAAAATCCTTCTTAGTGAAGGGTATTATGATTGCTGGTATGTTTCCATTTGCCCTAGATCTGTGAGAAGCAGTGTGTCAGGTGTAGATCTGTAAATTGTTGTCAATTCAGGATCACACTTACTTGAAGATTTGAATAAGTTCCTATTTTTTCTTTCATACCCTTTTTCAGTTTCACAAGTTTACAATTTCAGTCAGAGAAGAGGCATGAATAGGAAAGCTCCTCAAATAGTTTCTGTGATGGAAAAATTAGCCATACTTTTGAAGTCTAGAAAGTTTGGTTTTCCACCTTTTAATGTAGGAAAAGGTAAAAGTTGTATATAACTATAACTGGAAGATTGGTAGGATATGCTGCTGAAGAATTGGTATGTCCATTTTTCCTTTTAAGGGAAAATATAGTGAAGAAACCTTCAGCTGGTTTCATACTGGAATATATATATATATATATATATAGCCTCACATATATACACTCATAGTCATATATATATATATATATACACTTTTCTAATCATATCATGCATATGGAAAAATTTTTGTTCAAGAACTTCTTACCTGCCAAATCATTTTTGGTTGGAGAACATTTCTACCTTCCTCAAATGTGTCAGGCATTTGAGAACTGCTTTATATTTTTATTACCTCTCATGGAAGATTGTGTTTTCTGTGTAAGTTTTGCAACTTTCTATATAAGTTTTGCAATGTAAAGTAATCCTCTTTTCTCTTAACGTAGACTGTGTTGGAGAAATTCATCTATTAGCCACTCATTCTTCCTGGCGTAACGGTGCCAAAGCCATGCATTCATTTCCTGCTGTATGTCCTTTGCAAGGCCACGCTCTGTACCCTGGTTACATTTGTAGATATCCCCTTCACAAATGAGAGATGTGCTCATGAAGGCTGCAACACAGCTAATTTTAAGAGGCAGCCAGACCTTAATACCCTGTTACCACTTGTAGCAGGAGAATCATGCCCACTCCTCTTTCTGAGTCACGGGTTGCCCCTGAGAATATGGTTTGTGAGCAGCTTCCTAAAATACACCTTTTCTTTGGCAAAGAGTCCAGTTTTCCTCATGGAAGAGAACGACAAACTATTTCAAGAGGACAACACAGAGCCTTAAAGACTTCCACCCTCAGCAGGGAAGCAGCTGCCTGTCCCTGATACAGTCTTCTCTCTCTCACAAAGCTACTTCCTTTTCAGCTGCCTGTTCAGCCCTTTTTGTTGATGCTTTTTCAGCCGCCTTCGGATGTTCCAGCTAAATACAGTTCCCTGTCCTTTCCAAGAGCTCTGCTACAAGCTTCAGACATTCCCTAAGTTTTTTTAAAGCTGCATCTGGACTCTCAGGGGATAATATAACCAGACTTGCTCACTTTGGGATTATATCAGAAGTCATGCAAGAAACTGGTTCCTTCTTCATGTGTTGGAATAAAATAAGTTCTTTATATCTCTGCCGTATATCACAATATAAATTGATTGCTGTCCTTTTGAATGAATAAGTTATTGAATAATATGACTCAAAGTACTTTTCACAGAGTTGGTTTTAGACTGGTTATTCCACAATTATTTAATTTGCAGGAATGGATAAGTATCCTGAGTCTAATCGTGTTAGGGTCCATGTCAGAAATCAAAGTCAAGAGTATGCCAAAACTGTATTGGAATGAGGAGACTTTCCAAATGTCATAGGTTAATCTATTTTCCTCACTGTTCAGGTGACTGTGATTGGATACACCCTTGGGATACCAGATGTGATCATGGGCATTACTTTCCTAGCTGCAGGAACAAGCGTCCCAGACTGTATGGCCAGCTTAATAGTAGCAAGACAAGGTACTGTGTCTGCTGAAGCATAACTATAATCTTACATACATGCTCTGTGATTTGCTTCATCCATACACATAAATTCTGAATGCAATTTTATTCTTTTTTTCTTTTATTTTTACTGTTTCAGGGCCTCGTTAAAAGCCAAAACACTTTGCTAATTATTGTGAACCAAAAAAATAATCCCTGTCCTGTTATCTCTTGCTTATTGGGACTGGGCACACCCTAGCATTCTAGAAGGTCATTCAACACTCAGATATCCCATGCATGGTATGTATCAGTCAGGGTAAAAAGATAAAAGTAGTAGACAAAACCGGAATATCAGCTGTTAAAAACTACTTTGAAGAATATATGCTGACCAGCACTTCACAGAATCACAGAAACACTAGGTT